TTTTTCTAACAGCTACTAAAAAAGATGGACTTATCCCAGAAGATCTCAATGACGAACATAGCTCCAAGATTAAGAGAAATAAGTGAGTAGAGAATCAGTGTCAGCTTTACCATCCATTCCTCCTAATATTAAGCCTGTTCCATAAGACAGCTCAGTATACAGTGATGATGTGCTACAGTGTACTAACACATAGCAGCCAATCAGATTAATTGTACTAGAGAGAGATGACTGGATGTTTAACTCTTATTGGCTGAACTGGAGTCAGACGTTTGAAAAAGCGTCAAAAGCATAATGTGGAATCTTATAACTGTCATAATATTTCTGATTCTATCCAGCCCCTTTTGTGATTCACACATTTACTAAAGCCAGGTGGGTGACAACACTTTATCTGTTAGGCTAAGTTCACAAGGGCAGCAAAGGGGCAGTAAAAACATATGATGGACCTTCATTTTTACCACTCCCCAACCGCCTTCCCTTCAAATTTACATGGCGGTCACTCAGGTACATATACATTGCCATGGTCTCGGTAAGATGAATTTAACTCAGCATGTCATATAACATACTGGGGTTGATTTACTAACCTAAACACACACACACACCAGGTGTGTGTGATTTTCACACAGCAAAACGTATTTATCAACCAAAAAGTCTCTAAAAGCATATTTCCACTAATGCCATATATGGAAAAATCATGCACATGATGCATATATAATGCTGCTTCACAGTTTAGACAAAAATGGTTAGCTCATGCATTTACATTCCTGCATTCATCAACGCAAGCAACATAACATAGAGCTAATTTACACCACATTACCTTGCAATTCATTGCAGGGCTTTGAACAACACACCTGCTGGGTGTGTACACACTACAAAGGTGTTTCGATTCCTCCCATAGATCATGCTGGGAGGGAACACACTACAGAGGTGTATACACGTTCGTGGTGTGTTTAAAAGGTTAGTAAATCAACCCCACTGTCTAAATGCTAACTGAGATCTTAGATCACCTTCAGATTTTTCTCCCGCTGTCTTCCATCCCCCCTTTTTTTTCCATGCGTTCCCCTGTTCCTGTTGACTTTCCTGTGCTATAATTATCTACTTGCTTTTCTGCTCTTGTACTCTGATACTACAATTCAGGGCCACATATGTTATTGGGTTTACTTCTTCAGACCCCCCTACTCCATGTCCTTGGGAAGACACCCCCTCCCACTAACGGAATTTTTTTGTGGTTTACAGTATATAGAAGATATGCTTATCTGGTACTTGGGAAATGGACTTCCATGTAAGATTTTTATCTATATGTCCATTGAATAGCCCATTGTATCTTTGCCCCCTGTCCGGGAAAATGTGAGCTCTGCCTTGGGTTTCTTGTCATCTTTATTGTGTTCTATATTGTGTTTGTCTTTACTATTTTATTTGCACTGTGTTTTTTTTATCCTTTGTTATATACATTTTATTGAAACATAATTGCGATATAAATTAAAAATAGAGAATTAAGGAAAAAAAACCGGCATGTAGCATTTGGCAAGTGGTAGATATGTAAGCTGCAGAAAAATTCAGTTTGGTTCAGATTTTTCGTTATTTTGGGATTCGGGTCCGAAATTCACTTCGGATCGCGGTTTTGGATTCGGACGAAATCCGATTTTTGTTAGTTTCGGATGAGTTTACGAACGGATATTCGTTGCAACTACCACAGAAAACTATATACAGATATTAATACTAAAGCTGGAGCTCCGAGACCCAAATGGCATTCGGGAGTCCGAATTTCGGGAGCTCCAGAAAGCAATACAGGTATGGGAGACATATACATAAATAATATTAAAGCTGAGTCTTCCAGACCTGAATGGCATTCGAGAGCTCACAAATGCTATTCGGAAATTCAGACCCCATTCAGGTCTTGGAGCATCAGCTTTAGTATTTGTATCTATATCTATCTATATCTATGTATTTATATGTAATTAGTATTCTGTAGTACTAATGAATATTCGTTGCAGCAACATTGGGAGCCATATACTGTATACATAAAAATAAAGCTGAAGCTCCCAGGCCCAAATGGCATTCGGGAGCTCCCGAATGCAATTTGGAAATTTGGAAACGGAAATTCGGATTCGGACACATTCGGATGCATTGGAATTCGGACATTCGGATGTGTCTGAATATCATGATATGGATCAGGCTCCGAGTCCAGTAGCTGCAACAGCAGGAACAGTTGTAGTCAAACAGTCCGAGTTCGGCACACAAGCAGATGGTAGTAGTATAGGAGAAGGCAGAAATGTAGTCAGAGATCAAACCAAGGTCAGTAGCCAAAGGTATCAGGTATGAAGTGGAAGACGATGAGAGTAGTCAGTGAATCTGCAGCCAAAGGTCGGTACACTGGTAGCCGTATGAGCGGATTGTATCACAGGAGGAGCAGGAAGCAAGATATTGGCAGGAGCACAATAATCTGGCAAACAGGAAGTGCTGTGGCATGGCTTAAATAGGAAGTTCAAGGGAAGTTCAAGGGAGGAGCAAGGAGTTCAGAGTTCAGCAGAAGCTAGGTTTACCTGAGGATTACACAAGAGATCAGGCACGGAGCTATCCAAGGTTCTAAGGTAGCTCAGCAGGTAGAACCACTGTCAGCTACAGCAGAGGCCCTGGGTTCAGATGCGGTTCCTGACACTGAGGGGGTGATTTACTAACCTAAACACACGCACGCACTAGGTGCGTGTGATTTTTACACAGCAAAATGTATTTATCAACCAAAAAGTCTCTAAAAGCATATTTCCACTAATGCCGTATATGGAAAAATCATGCACATGATGCATATATAATGCTGCTTCACAGTTTAGACAAAAATGGTTAGCTCATGCATTTACATTCCTGCATTCATCAACGCAAGCAACACAATGTAGAGCTAATTTACACAACATCACCTTGCAAATCACGCAGGGCTTTGCACAACACACCTGCTGGGTGTGTACACACTACAAAGGTGTCTAGATTCCACCAATAGATCATGCTGGGAGGGAACACACTACAGAGGTGTATACTTGTTCGTGGCATGTTTATAAGGTTAGTAAATCAACCCCTGAATGTCCAAATTTTGGAACATTCGTACAAATTTTAATTCGGAACGAAACGAATCACACATGTCTAGTAAGTAGTACCTACCAAATATGGCATGCTGAAACACATTTGCTGCTTGCAAAACATGCCCATTTAAGTGTTGGGAACTTTCTCCAATGAGGACAAAAACATATTTCTAGATGGGAAAGGTTTAGAATCTCTGTGTTTTTATTTCTGTCTGTACCTTCCTGTACCTTCCTGTCCTGGTCAAAAT